AAAAAAGTAATTTATTCAGAAACTTCTAGAAATGAACTAACGTAAGTATTCAAACACTTTAATAAACAATTTTTATTTAATAAAAACACAAGAATACCGGTATTTTGTTGGATAACCTTTAACTAAACACTTTACATGCATTACTACTCCTCATGCGCGTTAGGTTATATAAATGTGCGTTAAAAATCTATTTCGCGTTAAAAATCTATTTCGGAGCACTTCCATATTGTGTAATCATCACCCAATCAGAGCAAGTGCCATCTAACCTGCCCAGTTATAAGAGGGGGGAGGGGGAATGAAATATGTTACCAACTCAGAAACCATCGCTGCATCTAGTTCAATTTGGTTTTCCGCTTTCGCATAAAGAAAAAATAAACGTCTCTGCTTGACCAAAAGAACTTTTCATTTTTGTTAATCCAGAAGGTATTTTATCGGGAAAGAGAGATTTTTTTACAATTATCAATTCACTCCCAGAATCTCTTAAAATATTTTATTATCCTGCCGTCAACTGACAATTTAACACATTCTAACTCATTTCTCGCTCCAACTCCATCTAATCTTTAAACAGGATACAAGCTTTTTTTGAGATGAATTTTTCTCCTTTTAGAAACTTTTGGTGCGATTTCTCGCAAACACTATCGCATACATAGCAACTGCGTTCTGATTTACTATTATTTTGATTTACTAGTTTGTACTCTGAATCCTTCGAATTGCACTGTAGTTTTTTTAGGATTGTTTTTGGAAAAATTAAGCCTTTTATTTCCTGGACTTTTGATTCGCGCGTTACTGATATCAGCTAAGGACTTTCTCTGGATGAATAAAATAAATCACATTTTCTTCCCAGTTGATTAGTTGGGAGCCAATTTTGGCCCTCCCGAATGGTAAGATGTTCCTTTGTTTTAGAATCAAACGTTTCGTACATCAGATACAATGAGATCACACAATATCCTGAAATCATCTACTTCTCTTAGAATAGAAATTACCGCATTTTATGCATACCTAGAACTGCTGACCCATGGACTTCAATGATGTTATTTTTAATTTATATGAGAGATACATACCGAAAATAAAGTGTTTCGTGATTAATACAAAGATTTTTAATTAATGATTTATAAAATTTAGCTTTTAGAACGTTACATAATATGAAATTTAGTTAATTAGATATAAAATAAATGATTTGGAGCTTGGCGGTGGCGTAATAGATGAGTAGCGAAAAAACTTCGCAAGGCAAACATGTCCGGATTCAAGATAACTTTATTATTGAGGAAAGCAAGTCGGGATTCGCAATATTTGGTTCACATACGGACGAGCGTTTTATGCGTCTACATTTTTGTTAGATCAGCACATATTCCTTGAACAAAGAAGGTAGTCGCAAAGCTTCTGGCCAGGAGGAAAGCTTAAGCGAAAGTGACGCATCAGTTCATAGAAAGAAGGGGGGGAGCCAGTTTTTAGTTATGGTTTACAATTCGGTGATTGGTCAAGAGGCTTCTGCATTAAGGGTTACGTAAGATCGCATGATTAATTTGAATGGTGCAGTTTAGACTTAAGCGCTACTTTTAGGACAGATAGATGAAGTTCCCAAATGAAATAGAAACTAAAAGAGGTTATAGTGAAATAAATTTAGAAGTTTGCTTTCATATTTTTTATCTTACACATTCCCCCCTTTCAAAAAGAAAAAGGCGGAGCGATAGAGAAGCCTTTTTGATAGAAAAAACATTAAAGTAGCAAAAATATAATTTTGAAACATACAAAATATAATATTAGACTTCGAACAATAAAATTATAATACGTACTGACACATACGGAGTTCTGAGTTCAATAATAATTTTTAGAGTCCTATGAAGATTTGAGTCCAATCTATAAAAAGTTCTTGTTTCTGGAACATTCACATCACAATTTTGATACTCCAGGGAAGAATTTCTAAAAATGTTTTGCATACCAGATCACAGTTATAAAAATTTTATATGTCCATAAATTATTACGAATAATCATAAATCTTAAAATTTACACCAATTTTCACATTCATAGTTCATAGTTTTACCATTTGGAATAGCATGATTGAAATTATGGTTTTACATTTTTTACTACATTTTACAATTTTCTTTATTTTACACAAACTAGAAGACCTCACAGCTTTCATTTATTCATTATTTGAACGGTGATTTTTACTCAGGAACAAATGTATTTATTATGCTGCGGATTCTATACTTTTTATTTCATGTGTGCTTAAAATTTTTGCAATTTAATTGTGCTGTTTTGTGAAAATGTGAAATTCTTGTTCATTAATTTTTCATAAGTGTGAGAAATTAAGTAACGAATTTTAAGTTATGTAAACTATTTACAGAGAAGGCTATTAAAGTTAATTGTTACATTTTGGAATTTATGTCGAAAATTTTGAATTGTTGATTAGAATTTTTAAGTGCGTGAAATAATTTTGAAAAATTTGTGTAGAATATGAGAAAAAAATAGTGTTTTGAGTAGTATTATAGGAATCATAAGTAGTATGAAATCATATTAACTGATTAAAAAGGTGTACGGATCGTAATATAACTTTGAAGGCTCCAACTTTTATTTTTTTCGAATATAATAATTTATTTCTTTAATATAATGGAGTGTGGTTATTTTTTTTTTTTTTCTTAGAAATGGGGTGTTGTAATGCAGTTCGCAAAGGCCAGTTACCTTATAAAAGGAACGGAGGCCTTTCCAAATAACTGCCCAAATAGCTGGCAGTGTGTACTAGGATAAAGCTGTGGCGTCTTCCAATTTGTACAAAATAAGTCAATTAGAAATTTCGATAATAATTGTACATTATTTAAAATGAAAATTTAATCATATTAAAAAATTTTGAAATTTTTGTGATTTTGTAATGTTAATGGATGTGTTTGAAATTTTTGTATTTGGAAAAGTTTTGAAAGCCTTCCCTAAATAGATATGATTATGAAATTTATTTCCTTATTTTATATTCACAAAATTATATGGTCCATATTATTATTGTAGGGCAGTGTAGGATTTAATATATCTTTAATTTTGCATATTTGTACATTTTTTTCCATTTCAATTAACTAGTTTGAAGATTTTTTATAGTTATAAACTTTGATAATTATACAATACTAGAGGCCAGTTACCTTTATTAAGGAACGGAGGTTTCTATGTGTAATTGTATTTAAGCGTCCCACAGCCATCAGCAAGTTGTCACGCTGATTTCCATTGTAGAGGATTTGCCCATTTTTATCAAAGTTTATTTTGTTATTACACTGAATTTTTTACTTACTATGTATTAAATTCTAAATTATAATTTGCATTGCTTTACAATTAAGAAAATGTGGAATATATCATAAATAATCAATTAAAATTTCCTGTATCTGTAAAAGAAAATTTTGGTTTTATATTGCAAGATCAGTTTTTATGAAAGACTTTCAAGTTAAGAACTGCGAAATATTGATTATGATTAATGTTTAAGCAAAGATTTTACAGAATTGTGGACTTTCTTGAGAAAAATTAGGACATTCTTTACGATGAACTTGAAAACTTTCAATAATCAATAGAATTTTCAATTTGAATTTATTGTTAAAAGTGATATCTGTAAGGTTTTATACTTTAAAAAATTATTTATATAAAAATTTTGTGATTTTTTTCTCTGTTGTATTTACCTAGTTTTGCTAATTCTGTAATGCTTTCTTCTCAAAATTCTTTTCTGTCGCCTTTTTCTCTTTGAAGGGGGAGGGGAATATGTAAGATAAAAAATATGTGAATGAAAATTATAATTTAAACTAACGGTAAAACATTAATTCTCCCTCTCTATTCTAAAAATCGCAATAACGTCTCTGGATTGCATCATTTCTAGATCATTCTATGGCCTGCGCAGTTCTGATGATGTAATAATTGGGAATTGAACAACCAAAACTTTTCTCTTCGTGTGCTTCTATCTTGTATAACTACGCACTTCAACTTCTGTCTGTGCTGTGCATGGACGCAATTTCGCTATGATGCTTCCTATTGCAAAAATAAAAATAATGTAAATGTTCTTGAACATGCATGACTAGGGTGCCAAGTGATCTGTGGCCACATAATGTCAAAGGGAAATAAAAATTGAATCAAAATCGCCTGGACTGCCAAGTTTTATTTACGAAGTCAACACATTAGCTTACGACGCAATCAGAATACTTCCTTTTCAACAGCATAATTTACGCATCAACTTTGCTGCGGCTTTTCCTTTTTCTGCTTTTATTATGACATATATATATATATATATATATATACTATATGTTAATTCGAGGGCAAAGTCATCTTTTAAACTTGTCTCTTATGTTTAATAGTGAGTTAAGATCATTTGATTGAATTTTGACTAATTATCAATTGAAATAAAAAGTGGAAGCCATATCGAAAATTTTCGCCCACATTAATTTTTCCACCTTCTGCCAGAATACGACTTCTTCTTTAATACCTCAAGAATGAAATGCTAGTCTCAGTAACTTCAACTGAATTAACAGCAGTGTGTCTATACATCTTATGCTAAGGTATTTTTCCCTTTGTTTAATTTGTATTGATAGAAATTATTGCTTGAAAATTCTGTATTTAGAAGTAATCAGCTTTTATATGTATATTTTATAACTTAAGGTCACAGAAGACCAGTATCGCCATCTGTAAACTTAAATCCTTGAACTAATTGAGTACTTATTGAGTACGATTAAAAGAAAGTTTGGTAGAAGGAAATATGTTTATTACTACATTTAATATTGACAAACCAAATCTTTTTAAAACACATTTATTACAAAAATGAAACAAGAAAGATATCTTCAAATAATTTAGTTACCATTAATTTTCTAACTTTTTAGCTCTAGCTAAGAAAAAGATTTGAAAGTTAAGTTGTAGCTGCAAACCATAACGAAGCACTGGTAGCTGACCATTGCTGTTTTATGGGTTGCTGTAATAACTCTTGTCTAATCAGATTACATACGTTTGTAGAATATCTATAATCAGCATTACTTTTTTCCCTGTAGAAGAGCCTGATTTCTATCCATTTATGGATGACAAGTTCCTGTTAATGTTTCTCAGGTGCAAGAAGCATGATGTCCACAAGGCTTTCAAGGCATTGCGACGTTATTATCTCTTCAAAGAGAAGTACTCAAGAGTTTATACAGATTTCTTACCTTCAGAACTTAAACACGTCATGGATGTGAACTGCTACGCAAATATGCATTTTAGAGATGGTGATGGTCGGCTTGTGGCCATTTTCCGTGTAGGTGAGAAATTCGTTCTTGTATCATATCATTTATTCTCGAAAAATTTCTTTTGGGAGAGATTGAACCTCCTTGCTTAAATGAAATAAAAGAAATGTTTATTGAAGAGACAGTATAAATATTTACAGGTCATTGCAGACGGAATGGAGTCTCTGCTGAAGACATATTTGCTGCAGTTATGACAGCAGGATTACTTTCTTGCCGTCTCAAAGCATCTTCAGTATGCGGATGTGTGCTCATCTATGACCTGAAAGATTTATCCTTGGAGGATATTTATCGGCTTGCATCTCCAAAATTTATTACTTTCGTGCTTTACGGAGTGCAAGTGAGTAGGAAACATTTCAAAAATAGAATTAATTCGTTTTGAAGAAACTAATAATAAGCAACAAATATCGGCAAAACGCGAGTAAATTAGCAGGGTTTTACTTTGGAAATGTAAATAGAACCTTTCTCATCAGCTATGAGAATGAAAATGTCAACAGAGAAACATGTCAAGTGATAAAAAAAACAGAATCAAAATCGAGAATGTTCCAGCTAAGTAATAAAAAGCAAAGCCATTCGCGGCATCTATAGACCGAAGAGTGAAAGGAAAGCAAATAGAAAATAATTTCTTGAAACGTTCGCTGTGACGAACGATTACAATTTGAATCAATAACTCAAACCGAAAACTTGTTATGAATATATGAATGAAACGTCCGATTTAATTTCCCTGGGGAAGAAGTTGTTTTAACAATTTTGGCTGCAGAAAACGAAAATGTCATTTTTTGATAAACAGATCAACAACGAGGGGCAATAGAAGATCTGTGAAATTCTTTTTTTATTATTATTATTGATCAACAATGATGGGCAATGGGAGATTTATGAATTTACTGACAAACCAATTCATTTAAAACGCGGACAGGCAATAGATCTAAAATGACGGGCAATGGAAATTTGTGAATTTCGTTTTTTTTTATTGATCAACAATGACGGGCAATGAAAGATTTGTGATTTTCTTTTTTTATTGATCAACAATAACGAGCAATGGAATATTTGTGAATTTCGTTTTTTTTATTGATAAAAAATGACAGGCAATAGAAGAGTTGTGAATTTCGTTTTTTATTGATTAGCAATGACGGGTAATGGAAGATTTGTGAATTTCGTTTTTTTATTGATCAACAATGACGGACAATGGAAGATTTGTGAATTTCGTTTTTTTTATTGATCAACAATGACGGGCAATGAAAGATTTGTGATTTTCTTTTTTTATTGATCAACAATAACGGGCAATGGAATATTTGTGAATTTCGTTTTTTTTATTGATAAAAAATGACAGGCAATAGAAGAGTTGTGAATTTCGTTTTTTATTGATTAGCAATGACGGGTAATGGAAGATTTGTGAATTTCGTTTTTTTATTGATCAACAATGACGGACAATGGAAGATTTGTGAATTTCGTTTTTTTTATTGATCAACAATGACGGACAATGGAAGATTTGTGAATTTCGTTTTTTTTTATTGATCAACAATGAATGATAATGAAAGATTTGTAAATTTCGTTTTTTATTCAATGTAATTCCCGTGATCTCTAGGGCGAAATTTTAAGACTAATCCCGTTAGGCAATGTATATTAAGCACGGTGGTAAACAGGATCATAGATACCTGGGAGCTCATATATGGAATGTGGTCTTTAAATATCGAATTGTATTGATGGGAGAAAACTCGACAGTTATAAACTTGTGCAATATTTGTGCAATTTTATAACTAATCTATGGAAAAAAGAAAATCTCATAATGCTGACAACGAAAGATAGTTTTATCTTATCTGCAGATTAAAAACTTTCAATCGTTTGGTGAATAATACAAGAGCATAATTGTTAATTGGCAACTGTTCATTAATAGATTTTGGTCAAGAGCTGACTTTGCAGTTTTGATCTCACTCTACAAATTTAAAGTGCAAGGTGAAATGAAAGAATAAAGTGAAGCCTACTCAGAATGACAGTCTTTCAAGTATGGCGGAAAGCGAGCTTGGTTTGCAATAAACAATAATATTGAAATTATATAATATATATTTATGATACCCATCTAGAACTGAAGTTAGATACATTAAGTGTGATCAGAATATCGAAAAAATGGAAAGCAATTTAATCTTTCAAATTCAAAATGAAAATTGAAATGCCGATTCTTTTTGTTCACTATTAGTTTCTTTAACATTTGTTCTTTGTGTTCGTTTTCATACATTAATTCATACACAGTTAAAGGTCTAATTAACTAACCATCAGCTTTGAGAAAACCTTGAATAATATCTGTCATTAATAACCGAAGAAAATGAAAAGCCAATTTTCGTTTCTATGAGAGAAAATGCATAATAATAGTACAAAGTCCAAGATCCGGACTCATCGGGACTTCAGAGATTTCGGATTTGAGGTTCTTCCGTATATATGATCATTAGTTTAAATCTATGAAGATAGCATGCAGCAATTATAAAATTAAAAATATGAAAAATAGTAGTTTATGTAATAATGAAGCACTTAAGACCTCAATGAAAACAAAATTTACAAAAAAAAAAGCTCAATATTTATTTTTTTGTTTTAAATATTTCTTTCAATGTGAGTTCTCCCATTTTGTGCTAATACTTTCTCTTTAACTCTATAGATACACACAATTTATTCTTGAACCACAAAGTTGCCTTTTTCATGTTCTGCAATTTTTATGCCAAGAATTCTGACTAAATTATCAATATAAATGTCTTTAACATCTTATCTGCTCCTTTCCTCACTATCGGTAGTGATATTTTCTGGAGCCGCACTCGCCATCCGTTAGTTGGTTAACGATTGCGGCGTTGTCGCCAAAATGAAAAACTTCTGTTATATCATCTATATTTATTAACACTTCTCTACATTTCTTGACAAATTCCATTAATTATAAAATTTTGCTTTTTGTTTGAGATATCTGAACTCTTCAAGTTCGCAGCTGCCATCGCAAAGTTTAGCTAACGTCCGCTATTGGCCACGTATCGAGAGAATGGCGACTAAAGACGTATTGTTCTGCTACATTTTATCTTGGTTTCTATCTCACGATGACGAAGTTGAACCTAAATCATATTAGTTTAGTTAGGGATTATACCTACGCCTGTTTCCTGCCCATGCATAACGCTTATCTAAGTCCCGAATAAATAAATTCCCAAAATACTTAAGGTTTATCCAAGGATGGCGATAGACATTTTAAGGCCGGGAGCAATCTCTTCGGGCTATAAATACTTCTTCCAAGTTCCTCACTAAATTCCAAAACTTTTGCTGTTACTAAATTTTAATTCTCAGTGCCTTCCCTAAATTCTACATATTTTGATGTCCCTTAATTTTAATTACTCCTTGCTTCTCTAAATTTAAAAAAAAAATGTTTCCTTTCCTACGTTCTGCCGCTTGTTGCACCAATCTTGCGCTTATCTGAACAACAAATCAGTTATTGTGAATTCCCACAGCACTAATGTAATCTTTTAGCCAATGAGTATAATTTACAATTTTTTTTTTTTTTTTTTTTTTTGTGCTCAAGGAAATCAAAATTTGTTAAATTTCTCCTCATCAGTTCACTGAACTCAGTACTTCGCAGAGCTGTTAGCTGGAGTATGTAGTCATCACAAAGCGTAATATCAACGTAAAAGTTCACCCTGTTCTTTGGTAATCACCGTTGCGTGAGTTATTTCACAAGCTGATATCTGTTGATTGTCATGCGGTGATAAAAGCAAAAATAATAAATTACAATTCACCAGGTTGAAGTCAGAGATGTAATTATTAAGGAGTAAAATTAGCGATGTTTCTACGTAGAATATTTCGGTTTGTAATATATGCTAAGCGTAAAAGGCAGCTAAGGAGCAACTTATTGATCATGGAGATTTATGATACTAAATTATTGTTTCTCTTTCAATATGGAGGTATTTTATTTATAACTTTAAATAAAAATTTCTTTTTCCCTACTTTTATTTACAGTAGTGCTTTAGTCTTTATTTTAAATAATCGGTTACAAAATAATCATGTTTTGTTTGCAGCACAGATTAGTTTGAAGAAGTCCGAATTTTTACTGTTTTAATCGGATTTTTCTAATTATTGAATGTTCTCATAGGCTGACGGATAAAAGAGACTGGAAGTTTAAAGACTGACGGGGTTAGTCGTGTATCCGTTTTAATTAGATTTCTTATATTTTAATGCTGTATTAACTCATGAAGATCCTTGCTCTTCGAAAATGAGAAAGAATTGTAAACATGGAGCCTTGTCTAACACAATTAATTATCTCCATTGATGATCCGCATTTTCTCTCTTTCTCTCTCTGTGTTTCTGTTTTGTTGGGGCGCAGCCCGGTCCACCTTGCAAAACAAAGTTTGCCCTATGACCATATACGGCCTACGCCAGTACAAAAATCACCACACAACTATACAAATACACGAATCACACAATGCGAATGGCTTCTTTATTGTTGTTAATAATCTTCATAATCTTATGCGCTATTCTTCTTGCCCTAAGTAAACCATTTATCATAAAATCTATGTTCGCTAAATCAATGCATCTGGTTATCTCTCTCTGTGTGTCTGTTCTTCAACCCAAGCTGTTACATCTCTTGTTGTTGTTATGGTTTTGTTTGGTTTATTTAATTATGGCAAAGCATACTAGGGCTATCTGCCTAAGGGGAGGGATGCCTTCGTGGAGGACCTTCTAAAGGAAACTGGCTCGTATACACGTTACACATGTGGAAAACCACGAAAACGCCCATGCAGCCAGCCCGTTCACGGGATTCGAACCTCGGATCGAACTACCAGTGTTCAGCGACTTTACCGCTCGGCCGCTGGTGGGTCCCTGTTGTTGTTATGAGCAATGTCGCTTGTCTGAGACCACGAAATTCATAGAGGCAAGATTGCGCCTGTCGTTGGCAAAAGCCTTCGGCACCATACAGGTAACAGTACGACTTTGCTTAGTTCCGCCCCCAGGTTTTTTCGTCCCGCCGCATATTTAGAGTGCCTCCATGCCGAAAAGACACCATATTTACAAAAATTTACACTAATTTACAAACATCCATGTCTTCTCCGGGATTCGAACCCGAGCGCTTTGGTGTAGTAGTCAGAGTCACTAGCCACTATCCCGGTTGGGCGGCCTGTTACATCTCCTCCCACTCCACTTAGATTATTTTAAAAGTACTATTTCACAACTACCACTTCTAAATCTTCAGCTACTATTAATTTCTCTATTCTTCAGACGCTAGGCAAATTCTTTGTATATTCAATGAGTCCCGGAACGTGCATTGTGTTCATACTTTGAAAGATTATAAAAGCACTGTTATTAATAAGTAATTTAGTTTTAAAATTGAAAAGCATTTACAGAATGTTTTTAAATGTAACCCTATAGCACAAATCATTCTTTCTTAGAAAACGTACATCCTTTGCAGCTCTTGACGGATAGTACAGCCAAAAATTACACTTTACGGTCCAAATTATCTTCACTAAGAAATTGGGTGTTTCTTGGAAGTAATTTTTCCAACGACAACGCTTCTAAATGTGATGAACACGCTATTTTGAAATTTTTAGCTCATAATCCGTTTGATTTTCTTTTTTTCAAACAATACATTTCAATCAGCTTTTCTTGTTGATGTCACTGATGTCCACGCTTTTCCAGAACGTCTTTTTAGACATTTGAAAGAGCTCTGTGCGGTTCTACCTTACCGCGTAAGTTGGAATTATCTGAAACTCTCTTAAACTGCCCTTGTACTTAGATTGCAGTTCTAAACTTCCAATGGAACTTACGGATTCAATATATTTTCTTTTAAAGCTGAATCTAATATTTATATCCTTTGTTTCAAATTGATAAAACTTGAAAGAAGGTATACTAATTTATGATTTTTAAATTAGATATGCACATTTTGAGAAGACCTGCATATTATTTTCTCTTTACATTCGCTGTGTATTTATTAAACCATTCTTGCTTTTATTAATAACGCTTTTAAAATTTTGGATTTATTGGGTAGAGATTAGGCAACGATTTAAAATGCTTTCTATAAAAAATTACATGAATTGTTTCAACATTTTACGCCATTTTCTCGACTTGTAAATGCTTCTGCGTATCAGGAAATAATCACAATGATGATATTCCTAAAGGTTAACAATAGGTCCTTTTTCTCGCATGTATAGATACCCAACATGTACTTCCAATTACGAGCTTTCAGAAAAACAAAGCAGATTTTTTTAAAAATCTTTTTAGAATTTTGGTTGGAAGAATTCTGTAAATAATGTTTAACTGTTTTCGTTGTCATCGTTCGTTGTCTAATAGGTTTAAACCTATTAGTAACCACCAAGAATATAATCCCTTTTCGGAAAGAAAAGTCTGAACGGTTTGTCCGAATGGGAGCTGCCCTGCTCCCACTCAGATCGCCTACAACGCAGAATGTGGTATATTTTCGGTAGACCGGCGTTCCTCAAATCGAATTACGAACCTTTAGAAAATTAATTAAAAAAATCTAACAAATTAGACTATTCTTAGAACCATCTTATCCTTGTGCCCCTCGAAAGCAATTGTTTTAGTATATTATTTCGAGTATACCTGTAATTTTTAATCTACAGTTAATTGAAATTCATTTAATTTTCTATCGATATTAAGTAATTAATTTAACAGAAGAAAGGTTCGTATTCGTTTTTAATAATTCAAGGATGTTAGAGATCAGATAATCTTTATCTTATAAACTAAGAATTAAATAAATGTTGGCACACAGTTGTACTGTTTATTGCGTTCCGTTTTCATTAATAATGAACCTAGCGGAGCCACATGTGCAGCGAAACCGTGGTGCTACACATCTATACAAAAGAGAGGTTTCATAGATCAAAATCTCTCTATTGTTGCTAAGACTAGAGAAGAAAGTCTATAGCTACGGTAACTGGAAACAGATTTCATAAATCTCGGCCGCAGAAGGAAAAGTGATAGACGATTGCCGTGTTAATTAATAAACACTGAGATCTTCAACTATAGTGTGACTGATATATGCAGTTAAACTGGATTTTATTTTTTATCGTCTTTGGAAATTTAGGAGGACCTCAAGGGCAGACTTAAAGGACCAGAGTTTGAGAAACGCTACTTTAAACGATTACAGTTAAAAATTTGTGAAAACTTCTGTTCTTTCCGACTTATTTTTTTTTCTTTTGTACGAAATTTTCCATCTCTTCTTTTATCATAATTTTAGCAATGTTTCTATATTTGTCATTGAAACTTTGAAAATTTCTTTCTCTTGAAACTGTGTTCAAATTCTCCAACTTCCAATCTTCCCTATGCACAGCAAGTTGCAAAATTGTGGTAAATTGCGTTGAAGTGACCTAGATGAACATTTTGCAAAATGAGACTTTTGCTGCCATATAATAGTTATGAATTTCGTACATATTTAAATAATTTTAGTGAAATTATATGTAAATTGTAGTAACTCTGGTATTCAGTACTTATTGCAGATATTACAATTTGCATCAACCGCCCGAAAAACAAGGTTACAAGGAAAACAGGGTCCATTTAATACTATCGCCGGAAAACAGGCTAATTTAATACCAAGATAAATGGCTATCTTGCCGAACTGTCGAGATAATACCAAGCTGGTTTTGACGACTAATTTTTGCAGCCAAATTTAAAAGAATCACCAAACTTGGTTATCATCCTTATGTAACTCTGACTAGTCCGATCCTATGTAACTGTATGCCTTCCAGCAATTCCAAGAAATCAAAGGTACTGGAAATTCTCTCTGCGGACGGGATAAAACTTCATAAGAGCCAAGAGAGCAGTTTCGTTAGGAGCTGATTTCAAAGTTTAACTCGGAATGTTAAGAAATAACAGTGTGAGTTTAATCATTTAAGGCTTTTTGTATTGCCTTGTGTTCAACTTTTCTTAATAGCTTGAAATGGTAACTATTGATTGTGCTCTGTCATACTGAGAAGAGACGTACGATCCTATGTTCTGTGAAAAGTTTTAACTGTAAAGTGTTTTTGGAAAAATAAATTTCATCAAGCTTTCATTAGTTCCTTGTGCATTCAATCCACTACGAACACGTACGCCAGTAACAACACTGAATAAACCATAAAATTCTTAACCAAAGGCAACTCATGCAAATGGCAATAATAAAAATAATTCACAAATGCACATTTACCTTTCCGCTTTTTCGGTTTTGAACACCTTTTTTTATGCTTATTTCTGAACTTATTGAGTGTATTGTATAAATTTTGAATTATATTACTACTCTCGTATTGCAGTATGCTTCATTATATTCGAAAGCGCAACGCAATAATTCACTTAGTTTTTACATGTACTTAAAACATTTCATTATACTCTAGTTTTTCTTCAGCAATGCATCGCTTATTTCAACATTTTTGCTTCTAACAGTAGTTTTTTAAAGTAAAAATCGTTAGTTTACTTTGTAGTACTCATCCCACAAATTAATGAATATGCAAACAAAGAGGGGAAAAAACATGCTAACACTACAATGAATGTAATAAATGAGTTAACAATAATGGATTTTATAATAATGAATGTACTCACTTTGTAAAAATACTGGAACTGTTCTCTTGTGTTTCAGTACATTGTTGAAAGTTTATGAAGATCTGTTAAAGACAACTGATTAGGTTTTGAAGATTTTATTTTTATTTTTTCATCAAGCATCACGAAGAGTGTTTCGATCTTTTTATTGCTTATTGTTTGCACTTTGGGATAAAATTATGACTTAGATAAATAGACTTTGTTTTAAATTTACAATGTATAGGATTTTCCTCTTATTTTAAATATTACAAAAGTTTAAAATCCTTAACTTACTGCCTAACTTACTTTAAGTAACTAACTTACTTTATAATTTCGTGTATTGAGCTAATTATCTTAAAAGCATAATTTTGTACTAATAGAGTAAGCTAGTAGTTTAAAAGTCATTTACTTGCATAGTGAGCTAAACAAAGTCTTACAGTGTTAGCTAATCAAATTAAAAGTAACCCTTTTGTATTTACGCAATAGACTAATAACAAAAGTACATTTATAGAATAAGCTAACCATATTCAGAATTATTTTATCTGAAATTCTGATCAATATTTTGTAAAAAGCGTCCTTTTGGACCACGAATATCATGAGAAAAAATAGATAGGACGTTTTTGATATAAATTGCATATCTCATACCTTATCGCACAAATAAGTATTTAATAACTAATGGGCCAATTACAAAATCTTTAACTGTTCTATTGTACATTGTCATCTTCAGCTACAATAAATATTAATGGTTATGTCAAATTTTTGCAGTTATCTTATTGTTTGCAAGTGTGAATATAAATTTCTGGTTTTTATTCTTCCAAACGTTAAATTATTTTATAATTTTAGAACATTTATTTTGAAAACGAAAGGCAGAAACTAATGTCTATGTTTTTAAAACTTAAGTCTCTTTCCCGTTTAAATATTTTCAGAACTCAAGAGTTAATGAGTGTAATTACGAGTTCATAACAGTAGATAATACTTTATTTTGAAACAAGAATATTAACTTTTGTACAATTTTTTTATATTTTAAAAATAATTTTAAAATTTCTCTAGCTACCTTTTTAAGGGCGAAATCTTTTAGAATGTAATCTAAAAATTTCTTAGAATACGTAATCTTTTCTTAGAATAAAATCTAAAATTTTCAGATTTCAAGTTGCTTTTTACTTTATTTTATTTAATTTTTTTATTTAGGATTGTTTGCCTTTTCGTTTAAGGAGTATACACATAGTAAACGAAACAGCCCTTTTCGGCACCTTTTATAATATGATAAAATTTGCTGTACCAAAGAAGCTGAAAGAAAGAGTGAGTTTTCTCTTTTTATTCTTACTGTTATAATTTTTTCAATATCCGTTTTATTAAAAACTTTATTAGGATAACCAATCGTTAATACACCATGTTAAAACAGAAAATGGGATTCTAACGTTATGTACGAATAGGGTGCTACTTTGGTAGACGATTGCACGGATTTGGGCAATTTTTTCTCTGGCGAGTTGTACGACTTATGGTAAACCCATTGTTAGACAAGTTATTTATGGTAACCGACACTTTGTTGCCATTTTATTTAAAAAATAATGCGTTTTGTTATGCATAAATTCCGTGTTTTAAATATTATTTATGGCTTCTAAATATTAAAAATCAATTTAATTTTGCATTTTTATTTGAAATAAAAATTGTATTGTTTATATTTTATGAACTCTATAATGGCCTTGAAGAGCAAAAGTCACGTGATCCAGATGGTCGATGTGTTTTTGTGGCAGTGTGTGGTTGTGAACCCGTGGTCGTGGAATTTTTGGATGTATATTTTGCTATTCTAAGTGATTTCAAATCACCTACGCTAAGGTAAATAACATTTTTATCTACCTTAGCGTAATACTTCATTTTATGCTTTTTTAAATTTTAGATTTATTTAGAAAAATTTGTAGTTGTTCTGAATCCTATTCAAGTATTTCGTTTCAACATAACACCGAATACATTTACTCTAGTTTGGACATTTCGCATAGTGTTGTTTTGAATATTTGTTTGGAATAGTACATTAGGAATTTTTTATTTTGATTATTTCTTTCTAATAGCATATTTGACATGCTGTCCCAATAAAAGAAACTTTATCACCACAAACATTTCAGGCATTAATAACAACTACAGATGCATTCATTGAATTGATTCCATGTTTGTTTCAAAAGTATGAAGCTGAATACATATTGTTAGGAAAATTTCAAACTGATGCTCCTGAATTACGTTTTGGAATGTATCCGCAAATCACAGGCTCAAATTATTAAATAAACGGTCTACAATTATTAGAAAGGGAGAAGTAGCTTCGTTTTAAAAACAATATTATAATTTCATCATCAAATATGAATGTCCCTTTTACCAGATTATGATAAGGATTCTATCTTTACTTTTGCGAATATTAATGATTAATTCAAATTTACTGATTAATGATTTTTTTATAGGAAATGTTTCTACTGATATTTTAACAGTGCTAAGTTTAGATTACAGATTATGATGCCATGAAAACATTAAGGGTGATAAAATGCAATATTTGCCAGGACTGGTTGCAAAGTATTCATTCAGTAGATACAGCAGATGATATTTTTGGTTTTCTTAAAGAATTAGATAGGGGGGAAAGTAAAAATTTTCCATCTCAAGTTACTCTATATGTACAATTAAAGTCTTCATTTGTATATTTCTTATTTGGTGAAATTCTTAAAAACAGGGAAGATACATTTCTTATGCCAGGAAAGCAAATGGATATTTTATATGAGTTATCTTGCGTACAGTTAGTACAGCATACAGTTACTTTAATTAAAAGATTCTTGCACTAGAACCATATCTACGGCAACTCAAAATGATAACATACAATAAAGCCAGAGTTTTATATAAAAGAAAAACTAAAGAGGCCAAGTTAATCTCATGGAGAACTTACTGTAGTAATGTCACTAAAGCCTTTGGACCTACTCAAAAGATAACATATAACAAGGTGTTTCGTCCTACGACCCTTTCGTCTATGGTGAGTAGCATTGCCTCATCCAACATCGAAGTATTCAGTGAGATCATAAATGCAGTTTTTCCTAATGATGATGAAGAGAATTTCTTAGAGGAGAGAGAGGAAGCGAGAAAAACCTACAGTATGAAATTTCGCCAAGTTACCATAAGAGACGAACCCCCTCCTACGCAAATGGAAGTGGATAACATCATACGTACTCTGGCACCCAAAAAAGCTCCAGGTCCGGATGGAATTGATAATATCATCATTAGAGAGATACACCGGGAATTCCCAAAACTATTCTTTGCGGTAATTTCAGCTTGCTGGAAACATCAGTACTTTCCTAAAAATATAAGTTGGCAGAAGTGGCGTTATTCCTAAAATCAGGCAAAACTCCGGCAGAACCTTCATCTTACAGGTCAGTCTGTCTACTGCTAGCGCTCGGTAAGGTATTGAAAAGAGTAATTCTTTACAGACTAGACTTCTTCCTGCAAAGGAACAACGCCCTGCATCCCAACCAATATGGATTCCGAATGGGCAACTCAACTGAGCATGCCATAAAAGACTTAATGGCCACTATCAAACAAAACAAGGATAACAATTTGCACTCACTGGCAATAGCCATTGACATCAAGGGAGCCTTTGACTCCCTTTGGTGGCCAGACGTAATAAATTTGCTGCACAATATGGCCTGCCCAACAGCCATTATTACCATCCTTCGCTCGTACGTTCAAAATCGAAGTGTACAAGTAACATCAGACAGCGGCATTTATGTCAAAAATGTCTTTAGAGGGTGCCCACAGGGGTCTTGCCTTGGACCAACACTGTGGAATATAGTGGCAAACTCGGCATTTCGTCAGTTCGAGAGTGTAGAATACGCTCGAATCATAGCCTATGCGGACGATTTTATGCTAGTTGTGGCAGGAAGGAGTAACCTCGAAATGAGATCTCAATACTGTCTTGATCTGTTCTCCCGATGGGCTAGAGCACATAAGCTTCAGATTTCGGCATAGAAAACTAAAGCTTTACTCATAGGACGCAGCAGGCAGCTAAGACGCAACCCAAGCATTAAACTCCATGGGATACCGGTAAAATGTGTCCCCCAATTGAAATATCTTGGGCTATTACTCGACAACAGATTTTCTTGGATGACACATGTCAGGAATCTTAAGACACGAATTAGCATCGTAAGCAACAACATGAGACGCATGACTTCACATAAATGGGGTATCTTATCTATGCTACTTAAAATTTGGCATAGAACCATTACAGAAAGAGTAATAACTTACGGAGCAGCAATCTGGGGTGTTGAACTTACCTCTCATTATGAGAAGATCCCTGCTCTCTATTCAGAGACAGCTTTTACTTCAAGTATTTACTTCAGGGCCTTCCGTACCACATCAACACTAGCCCTACAACAACTGGCAGGAATTCCTCCCCTAGATTTGATAGTAGAAAGGGAGGCAGCTATCGTAAGGGTTACCAGGCTGGGTCAAACTTCCGCACTCTGGGGTCATAGTTATCACTACTCGAACTATGAGGAGCAAAACAACTGCAATAACTTTCATCCAGCAGCTTTTAATCTTACCGACGGTATCAGCATAAACGACCAAACAATTCAGAGAAACAGTAATAACCTTTTCACAAATGGCTCCAAAACTGAGAACTGCACGGGCAGCGCCTTCTGTAGATTTGAAAATGAAGTTGTAACATTCGAGTGGAAAAGGAAACTAGGCTTGAACAACTCGGTATACGAAGCATAGCTTCTAGCTATCAGTGCTGCAATTAGATATACGAACACATGTCTACAGGAGAAATTTTCCATACTCAGTGATTCGGCATCAAGTCTGGCGGCTATCGCAAGTCAAAACAGTCGGAGTCCTTTGGTATACCGAATTCAGAAACAGCTTCTGACAATGCCTATTTCGCAAAGACCCACTTTAAAATGAGTCCCCGCTCACAAAGGGATTCAAGGCAATGAAGCCGCTGACCTACTGGACAAGCAGGCAGCCAACTGCACGAATATAGTATTAGAAAGACCAACTAAACTTCCTTGGTCTCATATTAAGCGAACAACTTTGACAAGTCTGCTACAAAATTGGCAAAGTAGATGTACAGAGGCAGAGGTAGGACGAAGGACATTTCGCTTACTGCCAAAAGTTAACATGGAAATAAAGACCCACTGTGCTAGCCTAACACAGTTCTTGACAGGTCATGGACCATCCCCAGTATACCTGAACAGATTCAGACTTAGAGATACTCCTTTCTGCGAATGCGGAGAGGAAGGCGACACGGACCATTATTACTTTCATCGTGTACATACAAGAACCTGGCACTTGAAGAAACCAGCGGACTTTGCCTGGGCAGTGGGGACGTCTAACACACTCAAAAACAGAATAGCCCTTGATAAAATAGAGAAAATCTTAAGACACTGCCTAAGCAGAAACTACCGTGAATAATAGTATGTTTCAAATGTTCAGAACTTAAAGCAGCTAACCAGAATAACACTTAGTGCTTGCAGTTATTAATATGTAAAAACTGTTATTAGCATGTAATATTCGACCTTGTTACTTTGGAGTCTTCCCCGCCGTGATGGTATATAATTTCGTTTGGTTCATGTCCGTCGTCGGAAGCCATCATAGCGATGCACTCACTTGTGGAATGACTTTACAAACTCGGTTAGAAAATATGTTTGATAACTTGTAAAATAATGTTAAATAATTATACAAAATATAAAAATGACAAAATTAATATAAAATGTTCATATAAAAAAGTTAAACAATTTAATTAATTTCAGTTAATAACTCACAACTGTTTATTTTTATATATGCTTTGTTTCTACATAGATTCTGTATAATATGTAGCATGTATGTATATGGTTCAGCTCCAAGTTTTATGAATTTATTTTTAATAGTGGAATAGGCCTGTAATTTGGGAAAATGACTTAAAAAAAAAAAAAAAAAAAACCAAGCCTAATCACTAACCTCTTGGATGGTTTGGAAAAAGTGATTCAACATAGAATTGGAACTGGTACAAATAGATGGCTGTCCTTTTGATGAATGTAATTAGCATTTAGTTCTTTGAAATTAGCTTGAAAGATTTATTTATAGTATAATATGCATGTTAAGTTCATCTTTATATTCAAATTTTCTAGCATTTAAGGAATTTTAATTCATTTCCCTGTTTTGACAAAATTGAGATATGCAGATTTTATTAGTGAATGGAATGAAGAGAGATGACTATGGGTATTTGCCTTCTAAAAATTTATATAGCTGATGCGATGGTAGCGGCATGGAGTTTTACAAAATAATTCTGCCCTTAATATTTATTTCACTAGTATGAAAATCTAAAATTTACATCCATAAATCTATTGAATTCCCCACTTATGTGGATTTTATATTATTTTGGAAATAAATTTGATTCAGATTACATAAATGGATTTTATTTTTATCAAAATTGCATGAATAAAGTTCGCATGTGGTGATTTTCAATGATATTTTTAGTTACATAAGCGAAGTACAAATTGTTTTAAAAATTATTGAAGATATACATTTTTACCGCCTGTAAAAATATTGCACAATGAAAAATTTAATGTAAATCATACGACCTACTCGCGTTTATTAATTTTACTTATATTTATTTTAAGGCAAACTATTATTTTTGGTAAAAGTTAAACTACGGGATTGTGGTAAAGAAAGAGACTATTCCGATCACGTGACCTTCCGAAACTGATTTCGCTTCAAGGTTCTGATACAGTCGGCTGTGATAATGTAACGAATGACGTCACATTACTTTAAAAGTAATTGGCTTTAATATCTATAAATTTAATCTAATGTTTTAAACATTATTTATGGCTGTTAAATATTAAAATACAATTTAATTTTGCATTTTAAATGATTTTATTATGTATGATTATTTAAATAATTTTAATTCTATTCGTGATGTAATCAGCTCCCTGATCCGTTACAGAATATTTTCGCATTAACGAGCTGTAATCAGCTCCCTGATTGGTTACTGAATATTTGTGCATTACCGCCCCATTTGAAAATTTTATTATTCATCTCTTCGAATTCCTTAGATTACATTTTTCAAATTTTTTTTACAATTGTTTTTCAAATTTTTTCCCTTAGATTACATTTTTAAAATTATATTACATTTTTCAAATTTTTTCATTCATATCTAAATTATGATTCCGATTTTTTGTGGTACTTATCAATATACGACAATTTAAATACTCAAAAAAATGCAAGTACATATTTTTCTTTTACTTTATAATTTTATACTTCAATTTTTATTAAAAAAATTAATACACTGTTTTCAAAAATTGCCAAGACAGTAAAGTAGCTACCAAAGTAGCACCGCGAATAGTAATAATTTCTACAGTTGCCGCTGAATTTCACGCAATCAATAGGAAAATAAGCTTAGAAAGCTGTGAAGCAAATAACACCTATTTCACGCAAGAAATGTTTTTTGCTTTGTTTTGCTGCCATTAAGGGGCCTAGTTCCTAGATTACGGTATACCTTTGGTGCAACTTTTTTAACTCCACTAATAGTATTGCCAAATTTAAAATATAAACGATTACTGCTATTGATAAAGAGTTTTATTTTCTTAACTGCTGTCTCAAATTAAAAAGTATCATTGCTATACACTTTTTAAAACTGCATGGTGACAAGAAATCTCTTTTATTAATGTAAAATGAAACATTCTAAACATACCTGCAATAGACCCATAACAGCGTAATAAACTGAACATTGTTCTACATCAAATGCTTTGAATAATTTTTTGACAGATTTATGATAAGCTTCTCAATGTTTTCTTCTAATAACAAGTTTCTTAACTGCGACTTCGTAACTTCACTGTCTGTTTTTACAACTTTAACAGTCGCATTTTCACTTTCTTCCATCTCTATTTCAGGCACTTGAGAATCAGAAGCTTCTTTCCCGTCTTTCATTTTTTCATCTTTTCAGTGCCTTCCTTTAATCTCGTTAGATGCTTCATCCTTCATTTCTTTATCTTTCTCATACACTTCGTCAGCCACTTCCTTA